TTTTTTATTTCTAGCCCGAAAATAAATCTTAACTTGAAGTCATTACCCTTTAAGCATTTTTTGCAAACAAATTTGCAAATACTATCATAAGTCTTAGTAGAGTATAAATAGTCAATTACTATTAAATAACATATAAAGTTACTATGTTAAAAGGATTTTTCTAAACTATACCCTTAAAGAATGCTACAAATGAATCCTTTTATCATAAATTTATGTTGAAAAAGTAAAAATTAACTTTTAATTTACCAACCTCTCAATTATATTCATCTATGTCCCATCAATACTAAAATTAATGTTAATTTTTTTATTTTTTTAAACTAATTTATAATGAAAAGATATATTTATTATATATTTTCAACATGTATTCTAAGAGTATTGACTATAAAAATCCATATTAAAAAGTTGTTTAAGAAAATTATCTGTGTCATATTCAATTAAGTTGATGTTATTGCTTACCGAGTGGAAGAACGAGCATTCCTATTAACGTGCACCCTTGATACCGTTTGAGTATTGCCACTGCAATGAATGAGTTATATTTGAAATTTACAACCATAAGAATGAGTTTATATTTTCAGTACTAATTAATTGTTTTTTTATTATCTCTAACAGAAAATATTACCTTTTAACTCATAGCACAGGAGCTCAATAATGAATTAATTAAAAAAACAAAAAAAAGAACATATACCTCTATTTATTTTATCATATATTTTCTTTGCTAACAAAAAGAACATAGTTAGCCAAAAAAAAAAAAAGAAGAAGGAAAAAAAGACATAATTTGCGTTATTTTTGCAAATAAGAATTAAGATATAACACAAAAACAGAAGAAATTAAAAGGCAAAAATAGCCAATTGAGTAGATATTATTGCTTACCGAGCAGTAGTAGCACGAAACAAAAAATCGCTACTCCAAACAGTCCAGGTGATAGGGAAGGAAAAACTTGATGCAGAAAATATATCCCCACTGAAGAATGAGTTATAGAGGCTGTTTAGCTAAGCTTTATGTCAAATAGTTTTAAGTTAAAAATTCCGATTTTATGTCTCTTGAAGTTAGAAATTCATATTTTTGGAATGAAAAATGAATTTAGCAAACAAATAGCTTTTAAGCAAGCTTTTTCAAAAGCAAGGATTTGGAGCTTTTACCAAAACTTACTTAAAAACTAAATTTTTGCTAAAAATTACGTTTTTTTTTTTTTCCTAACAAACTTCAAACTCGAAGAGACAAAATTTTTGAATTTTTAACTTAAAAAGTATTTGACAAAAAGTTTAGCTACAC